GTGTGTGTGTGTGTGTGTGTGTGTGTGTGTGTGTGTGTGTGTGTGTGCGTGTGTGACCAGGAGTGCTAGCAGTTTGCTGAAGGATGTTGTCCACTTCCCTCCAGATAACTCACACATCCCACTCACTCAGCCGCTGGCTGATTTTATCATTGCTCATAAATAATCATCACCTGGTACGTCCTTTCCCAAAAACTAGCAGTTTGTGAAATGGCTCAGTGGTGTGTAGAACTAGGATGTCTCTGAGTTCGAAATAAAGACTATGGAGATTATATATGCATATATATAATTTACATGTATATAATATAGTCTTGGTATATATATCTGCCAAATAAAGAATGAAAATATTCAGAAAAATAACTACATTTCAACTCATGCCATTCTTGTTATTATTCTCTGAATAATATATTATTGCATTTTATTTCACATTAGACCACATACGTGAGTGATCTAAATACGATTTAAAGTAACAAGCTATACCTATGATGTATGCAAGTTCTACACAGTTTTTTACAAAGGGACTTGAGCATGTGTGGGCTTTCATATTTTCAGGAGTCTTAGAGCCACCACCCTGTGGACACCATGTGTACATGTGTAAGCAAACATGCACTTAAAACTAAAACCAGAATGTGACACCTAATGTACACTACCTCATCCTCATAATGGTCAGTATTTTGGAAAATTGGAGGCATTATAATATCATGCAATTAAATAAAAGAACAATTCACACTCTCGGGCTAAGAAATAGATCTTTACATTGAATACATTTAGGAATTGGAAAATAAATCAAGCAGTTTTTTCTTTCTTCTGCACAGATCTTTGAAAACGCAGATCGCACTTGAATTTTGTAGCTATGAATTTTATAGCTCTCCATCATGCTTTACACTAAATCCTTCTTCCTCTTTCCAATAGCTCATCCTCATCTCTTTTCTCAAGCCAAAACCCTGCCTTCGAAATGTCACAGACACAAACTAAGCTTTTCACTCAGCTCTGCAGCATTTCCTAAGCACCCAGCATTTCCTAAGTCCAGGCTTGATCCCCAGCTGTGCACTATTCCTTGGAGGAAAACCCAGGCAGCCTCCTGCTCTTTCCCAGGATCCCAGGCGACAAACAACTCTGTGTCTGCTGAAGTGACCTAGAAAAAGGCTGTGGCCATTGCCTCGAGTCTTGAAATATTTCCAGAGAATTAGATTATGAAGGAACTTAAAACCAATAGAAGCTTGTTTAATTTCTCCAATGATCACTTTCCAGTTTTGTTTTGCTTTGTTTTGTTTTGTCTTGTTTTGTTAATATCGATTAATTCTTGAGTGAACCCTGAGGAAATTGCCAGAGGCTTCTGGAAATCTTTTCCATTTCGTACTTCATATGAGGCATGATTGTTGGTTGCTGCTACCATTCCTATTAAGAGTAAATAGACGTCTTTTGCAGTGCCTTCTGCCTCACCTCTTTTACCATCTCAAGTCTTCGTCCTTTTACTTCTGATAAATAAAAATCTGGGCACAGGGGTCTTTTCTGAGACTGATACTCCAACCAAGAACCATTCATGGAGATAACCTAGAACCCCTGCACAGATGTAGCCCATGGCAGCTCAGTCTCCAAGTGGGTTCCCTAGTAATGGGAACAGGACTGTCTCTGACATGAACTCAGTGGCTGGCTCTGATAACCTCCCTCTGAAGGGGAGCAGCCTTACCAGGACACAAATGAAGACAATGCAGCCAGTCCTGGTAGGCTAGGGTCAGATGGAAGGGGAGGAGGACCTTCCCTAGCAGTGGACTTGGAGAGGAGCATGGGAGGAGAAGAGGGAGGGAGGGTGGGATTGGGAGCAGATGAAGGAGAGGGCTAATGCTGGGATACAAAGTGAATAAATTTTAATAAAAAAAATTTTTAAAGCCTCAGAAGACTTGAACAAAAGAGAACAGGAAAGGCCACCTTCCTGGTGTTTCTGACACTTTAAGGAAAGAAACCCAGGGACTGTTAGTAAAGTATTCGCCTCAGAAAAACAAGGAACTGACTTCAGATCCCTAGCACTCACAGGAAAAGCTAGATGCCACAGCATGTCTCTGTAATCCCAGGACTGGGAGGCTAAAACAGGTAGATTTCTGGAACTCAGTTGCTACCCAGTGTAACAAGGCTAGTCTGGTGAGAAGCCCTGCCTCAAGTGAGGTGAGGGGTGACTAACAAAGACACTGGTATTGATTCAGTGTCTATGCTCATGCTCAAACACATTCATGCATACTCACATATAAAGGTGCCTGCACACGCATGCACACGCACACACACACACACACACACACACACACAAAAGAAAGAAATACGAATACCATTAAGAAGGTAAGGGAGAGAAGTCTCTTCAGAGGGTTCAAATACTAAGATGCTAATGATGACACTATGCCAGAGACTCCTTCAGGGTCATGAGACAAGGCACTCAAGGATTGGCAATCCAAGAACCTATTTCCACCTTAGCTCTATAGGAGCAAAGGTAGGAAATAATACTGCTGAAATTTCAACAGAGGTGATGCTGTTGAGAGGGCCTCCAGATACAGCCTGACAGTAATCAGCTAGTTTTGGAGCAGATGCCAGAGACAAAATCAGAAGCCAGCTAGAAGAAATAAATGCTAGTGCCCCTCTTCCTTCTGTCCTGAGTTTCTCTTGGTGATTCCCATTGGCAGAAACTAAGCGAAAATCCAATTGGCAAGCAACCTGAGAAGAGACAAACTTTCGGGCAGGACACAAGAGCAGAGAGAGAAATGGATGTGATGCATGAAGGTGGAGGGAAGCAGCTGAGAAAGCCAGCACCACTCTCACAGAAGCGTGTGTGTGTTTGTGTGTGCGTGCACACGCACGTGCACGCGTGCACGCCCTGTGGCATTTGTCTCCTGATAACAGGGATGCACCCAATGTCTGGTTATTTCTCTCAGAGCAGGTGGAAATCTTTGCAATGGAAACACCAACCACTCTACGTATTTGCTGAAGCCCACACCAAAATTGTCGCATAAATATCTCAAGTTGTTGAACGGAAGAAAAACCAGACACAGCCCTTCTGTAATGAAAAGGACAAGGTTACCTGAGGGATGAGGTGCAGCAGGGCATCCCCAGAGAGTGTCCCCACAGCCAAGCCCACGAACAGCTGTAAAATAAGATTGTAGTTCTCCTCACAGCTGTGGAAAAGGACCAGCGCCGTCCCGAGCATGGAGCCCAGTGTCAGGAGTGTCACAGCCACCGTGCTGTAGCTGTATTCTAGCCAAAGGAGATGACAAAGACTGTCAGTGTGCGTTGCTCTCCTCACACGCCTCAGCTGGTAGACATTCCAAATCCACTCGCCTATGGTGATAATTCATGGGGACACACAATGGTTTTGTAAGTTTTGTATGGGATAAAGTGGACTGCTGTGGTCTTGCTCTAGTCTAAGTGTTCAGCACCCCTTCTCCCCAGAGCCCAGCCCCAAAATGACAGTTTGAAGGTGAAGACTTTGGGAGGTCATGAGGTCATGAAGGCTCTGTCCCAGTGAATGAGGTTAAGTGCCTTATAAAAAGGTCCAGCAGGGAGAGACAGTGAGCTGGTTGCATTGTATGAACCAGTAGACCCCATCATCACCACCATCAAACATACAATCTATCAATATATTCGTCTTGGGCTTTTAGGCCCTCGGAACTGTGAGAGACAAATTTCTGTTCTTTATAAGCCACCCAGATTATTTTGTTACATCAAAGACTAAAAGAAAGTTTTTGCCTACCTGAGGCTTTGAAGCTACCCTTTGCTTTATTTAAAAATGACTGTAGCAAGCAAAATATTGTTTTAATAATCAGCAAAGTAGCTGTGGTGGTTTGGATTAATTATCAGCCTACAGAATCTTGAATCACCTAGAAGACAAACCTCTGAGTGATAGTCTGGCTGAGGTTCCTCACGGTGGCAAGAGCTACTTCCATTATAGACAGCACCATCCTAAGGCCTGAAACGAGCTGAGCTGCCGCTTTCTGACTTCGTCTGTACAGTGAGCCCACACCTCACCTTCCACCATGGTGAGCTGTTTCCTGGACAGTGAGTCAAAGCACATCCTCCTTCTTTAAGTTGCGTTTCTTGGGAATTTTCTCACAGCAAGTAAAAAAATCAGCTCATACAATAAGAGTTTAAGATTCTTTTAAAATTAATATATGTGTGTGAAAAACTGTCCAAGTATTTTCCCCATTACTTTATTTATTAATTCACTTTAATCCTGATCACAGCCCCTCCCTCCTTTCAGTCCACCCCTCACACACCCCTTCCCCTTCTTCTTCCCTTTCCTTCTCAGAGAAGAGGGGGCCTGTGTACCAACCCTCCATGGCACATTAAGTCACTGCAGAATTAAGTGCACGCTCTCCCACTGACAAGGCAGCCTAGTTAGGGGAACGGGATCCAAAGGCAGCATCAGAGTCAGAGAAGGCGAGCTCCAGTTGTTGGGAGATCCACATGAAGACCAAACTGAGACTCTTCTACTTATGTGCAGGAGGCTTAAGACCAGTCCGTGCATGCTCTTTGGTTGTTGGTTCACGTGCTCACAGTCTCTGTGAGCCCCAACATCCCAGGTGAGTTGACTCTGTAGTCTTCTTGTGGAGCTCTTGGAGAGCCTCTGTCTCCTTCAGTTATTCCCCCAACTCTTTCACAGGACTCCTCAAGCACTGTCTAATGTTTGGCTGTGGGTCTCTGCATCTGTTTCCATCAGCTGCTGGGTGGAGCCTGTCAGAGGAGTTACACTGGGCTCCTGTCTATCAGCAGAGTGGAATAATATTAATAGTGTCGGGGATTGGTTCTCTCCCATGGGATGAGTCTCAAGTAGGGCCAGTCCCTCAATCTTTGATCCATCTTTGTCCTACATGTCTATCAGGCAGGACAAATTTTGGGTTGAAGGTTTTGTGTGTGGACTGGTCTCATTATTCCTCCACTGGAAGTCCTGCCTGGCTACAGGAAGTGGCCACTTCAGGCTTTGTATCCCCCACTGCTAGGAGTCTCAGCCTGGGTGAGCCCCATAGACTTCCTGGGCTCTCCCCTATCCCAAGTCCCTAGCACCTTCCAGAGACGCCCCCACCTCTGATTTCCATTCTTTCACCCCTCCTCCATCTCTTTACTACTCATCTCCACCATGCTTTCCTCCCCATCCCCTTTTCTCCCCAGTTTCCTCCCTTCATCCACCTCCAATGCCTATTTTATTTCTCCTTCTGAGTGATATTCAAGCATCCTCCCTCTTGGGCCTTAATTGTTACTTAGCTTCTTTGGGTCTGTGGATTATAGCATGATTGTTCTGTGCTTCATGGCTAATAGCCACTTATAAGTGAGTTTCTACCTTGTGTGTCTCTCTGAGTCTGTGTTACCTCACTCAGGGTGATCTCTCCTAGTTCCATCCACTTGCCTGCAAATTTAACGGTGTCCTTGTTTTTAATAGCTGAGTAGTATCCTATTGTGTAAATGCCCCACATTTTCTTTATCCATTCTTCGGTTGAAGGAGATTTAGGTTGTTTCCAGTTTCTGGCTATTCTGAATAAAGCTGCTATGCATAGTTGGGAAATTTCTTTGTGATGTGGTGGAGCATCTTTTGGGTATATGTCCAGGATATATATATATATTGGGCCTTGTGCTTTTCTAAGAAAGCATAAGATTGATTTCCAAGAAGATTATATAAGTTTGCACTCCTACCAGAAATGGAGGAGGGATCCCCCTTATCCACTACCTCCCAGCATGTGCTGTCACTTGAGTTTTTTTATCATAGCCATTCTGAAGGGTGTAAGATGGAAACTCAGAATTGTTTTAACTTGCATTTCCATGATGAGTAAGAACTTCCAAGATTTCTTTAAGTGATTTTCAGCCATTAGAGATTCCTCTGTTGAGTATTCTCTATTTAGCTTAGTACCCAATTTTTCAATCAAGTTATTTAGTTTGTTAGTATTTACTTTCTTGAGGTTTTTAATTTTTTTCCTTTTTTAATATAATTTTTTATTTATTACAATTTAGTCATTTTGTATCCCAGCTGTAGTTCCACCTTCATCTTCTCCCAATCTTGCCCTTCATGCCTCCCTCATCTTCTCCCATGCCCTTTCCCCAGTCCACTGATAAGGGAGGACATCCTCCCCTTCCATCTGACCCTAGCCTATCAGGTCTCATCAGGACTGTCTTTCATAAGCTTCCTCTGTGGCCTGGTAAGGCCGCTACCTCCCTAGGGGAAGGTAATCAAAGAGCCAGCCACTGAGTTCATGTTAGAGTCAGCCCCTGTTCCCATTACTAGGGAACCCACTTGGAGACTGAGCTGCCATGGGCTACATCTGTGCAGGGGTTCTAGGTTATCTCCATGAATGGTTCTTGGTTGGAGTATCAGTCTCAGAAAAGACACCTGGGCCCAGGTTCTGTTGTTCTCCTTGTGGAACTCCAGACCCTTCCAGGTCTTTCTATCTCTCCCTTCTTTCATAAGTTTCCCTGTACTCTGCCCAAAGTTTGGTTATGAGTCTCAGCATCTGCTTTAATACCCTGCTGGGTAGAGTCTTTCAGAGGCCCTCTGTGGTAGGCTCCTGTCTTGTCCCTTGTTTTTATCTTCTTCCGATGCCTATCCATTTGCCTTTCAGAATGAAGATTGAACATCTTATCTAGGGTCTTTCTTGGCTTCTTTAGGTGTAAAGATTTTAGTATGATTATCCTATATTATATGTCCAATGTCGACTTATAAAGGAGTATATACCATATGCATCTTTCTGCTTCTGGGATACCTTGCTCAGGATGATCTTTTCTAGATACCACCATTTGCCTGCAAATTTCATGATTTCCTTGTTTTTAATTGCTGAGTAGTATTCCATTGTGTAAATGTACCACAATGTCTGTATCCATTCCTATACTGAGGGACATCTGGGTTGTTTCTAGGTTCTGGCTATGATGAATAAAGCTGCTAAAAACATGGTTGAGCAAACGTCCTTGTTGAGCAAACATACTTGAGCATATTTTGGATATATGCCTGGGAGTGCTATAGCTGGATCTTGAGGTAGCACTATTCCTAATTGTCTGAGAAAGCACCAGATTGATTTCCAAAGTGGTTGTACAAGTTTACATTTCCACCAGCAATAGAGCAGGGTTCCCCTTTCTCCACAACCTCTCCAGCATGTGTTGTCACTTGAGTTTTTTATCTTAGACATTCTAATAGGTGTAAGGTGAAACCTCAGGGTTGTTTTGATTTGCATTACCCTGATAACTAAGAATGTTGAGCATTTCTTTAGGTGTTTCTCTGCCATTCGATATTCCTCTATTGAGAATTCTCTGTTTAGTTCTGTACCTCATTTTTTAATTTAATTACTGGATTTATTGCTTTTTAACTTTTTAAGTTCTTTATATATTCTGGATATTAGCCCTCTGTCAGATATAGGGTTGGTGAAGATCCTTTTCCAAGTCATAGGCTGTCATTTTGATGACAACGTCCTTTGCTTTACAGAAGCTTTTCAGTTTCATGAGGTCCCATTTATTGATTGTTGCTCTTAGAGCCTGTGCTGTTGGTGTTCTGTTCAGGAAGTTGTCTCCTGTACCAATGGGCCCAAGACTCTTCTCCACTTTTTCTTCTAACAAGTTTAGAGTGTCTGATTTAATGTTGAGATCTTTGATCCACTTCAATTTTAGTTTTGAGCAGGGTGATAAGTATGGATCTATTTGCATTTTTCTACATGTAGATATCCAGTTAGACCAGCACCATTTGTTGAAGATGCTTTTTTTCCATTGTATGGTTTTGGCATCTTTGTCAAAAATCAGGTGTCCATAAGTGTGTGGGTTTATTTCTGGGTCTTCTATTCAATTCCATTGATTCACCATTCTGTTTCTATGTCAGTACCATGCAGTTTTTATTACTGTTGCTCTATAGTACAGCTTGAGATCAGAGATGGAGATACTCCAGAAAATCTTTTATTGTAGAGGATTGTTTTGGCAATTCTGGGTTTCTTGTTATTTAGTATGAAGCTGAGAATTTTTCTTTCAAGGTCTGTAAAGAGTTGTGTTGGTAATTTGATGGGAATTGCATTGAATCTGTAGATTGCTTTATATATTTTGGATATTAGCTCTCTGTCAGATTCTGGGTTGGTGAAGATGTTTTCCCATTGTGTAGGCTGCCATTTTGTCTTATTGACAGTGTCCTTTGCCTTACAGAAGCTTTTCAGTTTTATGAGATCCCATTTATTAACTGATGATCTTAGAGCCTGAGCTGTTGGTGTTGTGTTCAGGAAGTTGTTTCCTGTGCCAAT